CCCCAAAACCCCAAAACCCCAAAACCCCAAAACCCCAACTGAGTATAAAGGAGCTGAAATTAACTAAATTATTTCTTAAGAAGAGTGTCAATATGCTTCATGATTCCTAGACACTTCTCTTCTTCTCCAGTCAAAGTAGCTACCTGTATGGCCATTCCAAGTCCTTTGGATCCTTCGAGACACTCTCTGGTTGCTTTCACAGATTCATCTTCTCCAAAAACTGGGTCAGTATAGGTGCTGGCAAGGTGCTCATCCTTAATAGTGATAACATCAGGAATTACTCCAGCCGGATAATCCAGTGCATTAAGCATGGCTGTGTAGATAAAGGCAGGGAGAAGCTCTGCAGACTGACCGTGCTTCAAAGGAGGCATCCCAGTTGCAGGGAGTATCATGCAATCTAAATCATTTTCTTTCCAATACTCCATGTGGTTGTCACAAACTTTCAACTTTTTAAGACATCCAATATGAAGGCTTTCCAAGTCCTTGTTGTCTGAGTATTTAAGCAAGGTGCTTTCTCTTGCCATCCCGAATAGTGAGAGCACCCAAATCACAACAGGTTTCAAGAAGGCTGGAATGTATCCTACCATTGTGAGTAATTCATAGTGAGGAAGAGGCTTCTCTCCCTTCAGATTTTTAGAGACCATATCATCACCTAGAGAATGAGAAAGCTGTGTTACCTAAAAATACAGTTCTTCCGTAAATTTCTGGGATTTCCTAAAAGGTTAGCTAAGCAATACATAGAGTAGATCTGCATCCATCTCGATAACTTCGTGGCCTGCCTTCTTGAGCAAATCTATGGTTTTATCAATAGCAGCAAGTGCTGGGTCTGTGGGTTTGTATGACCAAAAAGATTTCATGTATCCTATCTTTATCTTCTTGGTCAGCTGGGAGTATTCCTCAACGATATCATCATCAAATGGAATCGGTGGCATAAACACATCTTCCTCCCATACAGAAGGAGAAATCATACCTTTCTGGAGAATGATTAGGTCATCAACTGATCTTCCAAGAGGGCCTGAGACTGGGAACACAGCAATATAAGGATCATCGTCATACTCATGGTTTAGAGGAGCATTTCCTTTGAAAGTAGTCCTCATTGCAGATGGCTTGAACCCATAGAGGCCACAGAAAGCAGCTGGGATTCTAATACTACCTCCAATATCCGTTCCTATTCCTGCTGGAGATCCTCTTGAAGCTATCAGGGCTGCTTCCCCTCCACTTGAGCCACCAGGAGTTCTGTCAGGATCTCTGGGGTTACAAGCAAGGCCAAAAATATTGTTGTCAGTTTCAGGGATCATCAGTAGTTGGGGAACATTGCTCTTGACAAATGGGATACCTCCCATCTCTTTAATGACTCTTGCGACACACCCATCTGTCAACTGAAGGTTATCGGATAAAGCAATGAGACCGTTTGTAGAGAGAGTGCCTTCTAGGGTAAGCTCATCCTTAAGACTGATAGGAATGCCATGAAGAGGACCTCTGATCCTCCCTTCCTGAAGCTCAAGATCTAGCTCCATTGCCATCTTCTTGGCATACTTGTAGTTGATATCAGCTAGGGCTCCTAGCCTGTGGCTCTTATTGGCACTCTCGTAAATATAAGTCATAACTAACTCAATACTTGCGATCTTGCCTGTGTCGAGTCCTTCTCTTAAAGATTTCAGATCTAAAATTTCTTAAAGGAGAATTTACCCTTGTAATCATTGAGAATATGCTCTCTCCTGTTGTCACTTGGGAAATCATTTTCTTGAATAAACTCTCTAAGGAATTTATCTCTGAACTTAAGCCTCTCCTTCGCCCTGAGCGAATGATACTGACTGACTCTTCTCTTCTTCACTACACACAGGTTATGGCATATTCTTGACTAGATGGAAGGTACCAGAGGGTTCTTAGGTTACTTACAGTGATCAGCAATAGTATTTGATAGCCAGATTAGGAAATATCCCAAACAAAAGTAAAATCCAATTGAACTAGAAACAATATCTAAGATGATATCCATATTGAGTATTAATATTTTATATAGTTTTGGATAAATTGGGGTTTTGGGGTTTTGGGGTTTTGGGGTTTTGGGGTTTTGGGG